TCTTTGAGTAATGACCACACTGTCTTCCACAGTGGTTGAACTAATTTACACTCCCACCAACAGTGTAAAAGCATTTTATACTGTCCTATAATTTTTATCTAATTTTACATGGTTTCACAAAATAAGTTCACTATCTTTCCATTTAAAAAATTTTTTAAAATAGAGTTTGTTAAAGATGGGCAGTTATCTTCATTGAATATTTGTGGAACTTCTCCTTAAGGCTAATTGGATGCAGGGAGATTCTTACTTTTTTATTTTAACGTATTTTTGTTACTCTCTTCTAGTTTCTAAAACTCATCTCTATACTTATATTCCCCCTTTCTTTTTTTTTTTTTTTTTTTTTGAGACAGTCTCCCTCTGTCACCCAGGCTAGAGTGCAGTGGCACGATCTCAGCTCACTGCAAGCTGTGCTTCCCGGGTTCACGCCATTCTCCTGCCTCAGTCTCCCGAGTAGCTGGGACTACAGGAGTCCGCCACCACGCCCGTCTAATTTTTTGTATTTTTAGTACAGACGGGGTTTCACCGGAGCCAGGATGGTCTCAATCTCCTGACCTCGTGATCCGCCTGCCTCAGCCTCCCAAAGTTGCTGGGATTACAAGCGTGAGCCACCGCACCCGGCCATATTCCCCCTTTCTTGCTTAATATTATTTACTGAAACATGTCTATTTCTTTGCTAACAATTACCATATGTCTTTTGATGTTATTGGTATTTTCAAAGAAGCGTCTTGTTATTTTGTAATCATTATTGAAATCAAGTGTTATCTAAAACATAATTATTTTTAAATTTCACTTTCGCTTTATTTTCTTTTTTAATCACTACTTTCTTTGGATTTATTTTGGTTTTATTTTTCTGACACTTTGATTGGAAGCTAGTTTATTCATTTTACGTCCTTCTCATTTTCAAGTAAAGGTATTAAAAGTTATACTTTTTTTCTCTTGGAATACTTTCAGTTGTATCACAGAAATTTTAATATATAATCTCAGCATTAATGTCAAAATATTTTATAATTTTCACTAATTTTCTATTCAGTCCAAGAGTAATTATAAGTGTTGTTTTTTTCATTTTTAAGGATACAGTTTCTTGTAGTATTCTTCTATTATTAATTTGCAATTGTATTGCACTGCACATATTATAAGTGGCCAATATGATAACTTTTGGGGATTTGATGAAATTTCCTTAGTTGCCTAACGTTGTTATTATTATACATGTTCCATTTTTGTTTAGAACGATTACCTATTTGCCTGCATTGGAAACAAAAGTTTTGATTTTGTTAGTCAAATCCTCTCTTCTCTATTTTTACGTGTTTTTTGTCTATTGTAACTACATATTTCAGCAAAAGGTTGTTGGGATGTTCCACTGTAACTGGATTTCTTAATTGCTCCTTGTTTTTCTATCAGTATTTTATCTATATGCTTTGGGTTTATATTCTTCAATGCATAAATATTTAAAACTAAAACTTCTTAGAACAAGTTTCTTCTATGAGCATGAAATAGGGCTGAGTCATCTTTCATGCTTTTTATTCAAACTTTGTTTTTTCGGTAATAAGTTGATGACCAGGACTATCTTTTTTTTTTCCTCTTTAAGCCTCCTATAAAAAGAATATAAAGAGATAAAGATATTATTTTTAAGTTTATTATTGTTATTTTTAAAGTCCACAATTCAGTGGTTTCTTTAAGTACAATTGTTTCAGAATCATTTACTGAAAATCACTATTCATTTCCCATTGTTGCCTTGGCACCCTTGTTTAACTCAGTTGATCATAATGTGAAAGTTTATTTCTGGACTTTCAGTTCTAGTCCCCTAATCTGTAATCTATCCTTGTGCCTATAGCTTTGTAGTAAGCTTTGAAATCAAGAAGTATGTTTTTCAATTTTTTTTTCTCCTTTTTAAGATTGTTTGGCTATTTTGGGGCCCCTTGCATTTTCATATAAATTTTAGGACCAGCCTAACAATATCCACAAAAACAAAACCCCAAAGAAACAAAAATTTAACAAACAGACAGCTGGTATTTTGGTATTTTGTTAAGGATTGCATTGAATCTGTAGATCAGTTTGGGTATTGCCGTCTTAATAATATTGTCTTCCAATTCATGAACATGGGATATCTTTCCATTTCTTTAGGTTTTCTTTAAATTATGTCAGTGATACTTACAGTTTTTAATGTACATGTCTTGTACTTCTTTTCTCAAATTTACTCCTAATTATTTTATTCTTTTTTATGTTGTTGTAACAGAATTTTATTAATTTGGTTTTTAGATTACTCATTATTAGTGTGGAGGATCCAACTGATTTTTGTCCATTGATCTGATACCTTGCAATCTTGTTGACCTCATTTACTAGTTGTAATAGTTTAACTTTTCCTTTTCTATCTGGATACCTTTTCTTTATTTTTCTTGTCTAATTTCCCTGGCTAGAACATTTAACACAATGTTGAATAGAAGTAGTGAAGGCAGGCATTCTTGGCTTGTTTCTTCTCTTGGGGAAAAGTATTCAGTCTTTCACCATTAAGTACAATCTAGCTGTTTGGTTTTTCAAAAAAACCAAATCAGCTTGGGGAAATTCCCTTTCATTCCTTCTTTGTTAAGTGTTTTATCATAAAAGGGTGTTAGATATTATTAAATGCTCTTTCTGTCTATTAAGATAATCATATAATTTTTGTCTTTTATTCTATTGTTATGGTGCATTACATTGATTGGTTTTGTATGTCAAACCATTCCTGGGATGAATCCCACTTGGCCCTGGTGTACATGTTCCTGGATTTGGTTTGCTGGTATTTTACCAAGGATTTTTGCCTCCATATTTATAAGAGGTATTGGTCTGTAGTTCTTTTCCTGTGCTGTCTTAGATTTTTTTTTATCATAGTAATACTGACCTCATTGAATGAGCTTGAAAAGATTCTCTTTTCTTGTGTGTGGGATTTGTGTGTGTGTGTGTGTGTGTGTGTGTGTGTGTGTTTTGAAAGAGTTTGTGAAGGACTGTACTTTTTTTTGAAAGAGTTTGTGTGTGTGTACTGTATCACCATATTTTCTGTTACTCTCTCCCCTGCCACTTGTTAGAGGGTTTACATTTTCTTTTGTCTGTTTTCTTTCTCTTCTTCATCTCCTCTTTTTCTCCTCTCTTCTCTCCCTCACCTCTCACCTCCAAAGGTATAAAACTTTTACACTCTCCTTCCCTCCTTTTGTAGATTACTCTTATATTTTAACACACATACTTAAATATATACTACTACAAACAACGAAACTTAGTGTCTAGAGCCTCCCCCTAAACAAGAACCAAGAACATTTCTGCTCTCTTTTACTCTCCGTATCTCCGGTCACCTCACTCCTTTACCTGCTTTTCCACCATCACCAATTCATATTACATTATCTGGCCCTTTAGGTCTATAATTCTAATGATTTTTTAAAATACTGATACTTTGTTATTTTTAAGAGTAAGTTTTATTGTTTTTTTTTTACTCCCCGTTGCTTCTTACTTCCCTCTTCTTTCTCAGAGATAATAAATTTTCTGTGTGTTTGTACATCTGAAAATGTCTTTATTTTTAAATTATGCATATTTAGAAAAATACACTGTAACTACCCTGTGTACTCAGCACCTGTATTTAACAACATTTAAAACTTTCAGCCATAGTTGAGATATTTTATTTTTGCAAATGAATTTAAACATTGCATTACATACACAGTCAAAGCATCCCTCATCTTCTCTTACCCTTCCAGAGGTAACCATTTTTCTAAAGTTTCCATGCATATGAAAATAATTCCCATGCATGATTTTGAACTAGATAGACACAGAAAGAAAGAGAGATGTAAAAATAATAAATGTAACAAATAAAACTGATTCTTGTATTTTTTAAAATACACATAAATGGTATCACATGGTGTTAGTATCATCCTGAACTCACACTATCAACCGACACTGGATTTATTCCTGCTCTCATATGCTGCTTTGCTTCTTTCTTATTGACACTATATGTTCTTTTTTTTCCATTATCCTATGATGAGTTATTTCTACATTTTTTTTTTTTTTGCACCTTTAGGTGACTTCATTGTGTAAAAATTCAAAAACACTGCCCCAGTGTCTTCCTGCATTGGTGTTAGCTATGCCCATGCAGATACCAGTCTTATTCTTCCTGCTTGGGAGTTATCTGGTGTTTTTCTCTAGATACTTTTTTCTTCACTTGAGGGCTCTGGAATTTCCCTATGATGTGTCTTTTCATTTATTCTACATGGAACTTAAGCACATTCAACCTCAGTACCATTATCTTTTTGTCAGATATGAGAAATGTTCTTATGTGATTGTTTTGAAAAGTATCTCTTCATTCTTTCTCTTTTTTCTTCCTTTAATTTGCTATATTTGGAGCTTCTGAAACTATCTTCCTTATCTCTTCTTTCCTTCCATTTTTTCCATCTCTGTTATTTTCATGCTATACTCTTGGAGAATTCCTCAGCTTGATTTTCTAGCTCTGTAAGTGTTTTATTCGGCTATTTACACAACATCCAGCAAATACTTATTGAGCACCTAGTGTGTGCTAGGTACTCTCTTGGATATGGAAATATAGGAGTAAACAAATAAAGTTACTGTCTTCAAGACTTCCTATTGATGGGAGCCCAAAAATAAATGATATATCAAGTAGTTGAATGTGTGTGAAGAAAAATAATGCAAGAACAGCAGATAGAGTATAACAAGGAATGGAATAGAAAAAATGGTCAGGAAGATCTCTGGAATGACATGGCCTCTGAGAAGAGGACTACAATTCCCCGAAATTCTGCAAAATTATCTCAAAGGAGGTTTTCCCAGGACAGGAGGGTCTCTGCTAGCCCCTACTCTTCTAGCCTGACAGATCTCATTTCTGATTTAACTTTTTGACATCGTTTAAAATGAGTTGGTTGTTCTATTCTGCATCTGCTTCTCACCCTCCACTGTTCCTGCTTCAGGTGGGGAAGGCTGAGAAGGACAGGGCCAGTCTGGTGTCACCAGGGCACTACAAAGGCTCCAGGACCGCAATGGGGTGTGATTTTATCACACTGAGAGTTGAGGTGGAATCCTCTCCTGAGACAATAGAAGATGCTGCTGTCAGAGGAAAGAATGAAAACAGTGCCGGAACGCCAGAGTCCAAAATGGTGAGGGGAAGTGAAAATGAGGAGAAGTGTAGAGCAGACACTTTAATGTTTTTAAAATGTGAGAGCACCAGTGAAAAGGGCAAGCCCCAACAGAGTGACGTTAATTTAGGGATCCTGTTCAGGCACTTAAAATCTGCCTTAGCACTTGTCACTTTTCTCTGTGGGCTGGATGAAATGTGGTTCACTGCGGGCAAGGGAAATGTTGGTTAGAAGCCTGGCTTAATGGGTCAAGTGTACAGAAGACACCATCCAATATACAGTTCACTATAACTAAAAGTAAATCTACCATTTGATCTAGCAATTCCACTCCTGGATATCCATCCAGAGGAAAAGAAACCATTATATTGTACAAAAAAGATACTTGCACATGCATGTTTACAGCAGCACAATTTGCAATTGCAGAAATATGGAACCAGCCCAAATGCTCTTCAATCCATGACTGAATAAACAAAATGTGGTGCATATATACCATGGAATACTACTCAGCCATAAAAAGAAACAAAATAATGGTATTCACAGTAACCTGGATGGAATTGGAGACCATTATTCTAAATGAAGTAATTCAGGGATGGAAAACTAAACATTATATATTCTCATTTGTAAGCGGGGGCTAGGCTATGAGGATGCAAAGGCACAAGAATTATACAGTGGACACTGGGGATTCGGAGGAAACAGTGGGAGGGTGGTAAGGGAAAAGAGAGAACACATTGGGTACAGTGTACACTGCTCAGGGGATAGGTGCACCAAAATCTCAGAAACCACCACTAAAGAACTTATTCATGTAACAAAACACCACCTGTTCCCCCCAAAACTTATTGAAATAAAATAATAATAATAATAAATAATAATAATGTATTTCACTGTAAATGGAACCTATAAAAGCCAGTGTTACACTAAATGGCTGTTATAGAAGTTGAAATATCCTTGACCAAGATCTAGTAGAGGAGAATCAAGCATCAGATGGATGGATGGACTACAGAGTTATAAACTTTTAATAAAAAGTCAAGATTCTATGAGGCTCAAGTTGAAATACAGAGCATAAGCTCATATGAAAAGGAGAATGCATTATTCAGAATAGTCTTGGCTATTATAAGATGATCAAAAAAACAGAAGTCTCTGTGGCTTGCCAAAGAAAGCCTGATGGGAAAGATGACTCTCACATAAAGTCTGATGGGAAAGATGACTCTGCAGAGCATCTCTCCTCCATTTGGTAATCCAGGGATCCAGGCTGCCTTCATCTTTTGATGAGGTGAACTCAACACATGGCTTCCATGATTACTGAGTCAAGGAAACCAAGGCAGTGTGTTCAGATGTGATATTTCTAAGGATCAGATCTGGAAATGGGTTACAATGCTCATACCCCATTGATGAGAACCAGTCCCATGGTCCTAATCTAACTGAAAGGGAGGCTAGGAAATGTAGTCATTCTACTTGCTTAGGAAGAGGAAGATTCAATGGAATTTCATGAACATGTAGCATTGTCTTTGCCACAGAGAGATGTGAATTACATGTTATGTAATAAGGAAAATGCATAAGAACTGATTTTTAATTATGCCATGCATAAGAAACTAATAATAGTTTCTCTATGTCCCAAGTGAAAGCTTTGTTACTCCAATTTCTCAAAAAGTAAAGGCATGTCCACCTGGAAAGTTTCACTCCATGAGCACCTGGACTCCAGATACCTTGGGAGCAATTCAAGCAGAGAAAGCTCTCTCAAATGGATTTTTGTCAGTTCATTTGGAAAACACTTTGGGTCCCTTGGAAGACAACAAAGATAAAAATGTCTTTATGACATTCCTCCTCCTAGGCACATTCTACGGCTTTTTCAGGGTCAGGAAAATGAGTGGCCTGTCTAAAGTCATCAGCCGGGTCACTGTGTCAGAAACAGGATGAGAGTCAGCACACGGCTGCTTGTGCTTTTCCTATGCACACATGAGGTCAAGAGATCTTTCCATTAGACAATGAGTCCCTGGCAGGTATGCTCCGGATTGGGGTTAGGGGTGGCTAAATCAGGTCAAGCAATTTGACTAAATCTCCTAACCCAGAATTCTTCTCTAAGTAAAATCAACAAAACAGATGTGGTTCTCCCATTAGTCTTTATTTGTTGTAATTACCCACTAATGTGCCTTTCAAGGATTTAGAGGCACATTAACCTTGAGTCTTGCAACAAAACCAACAAGTCTGCCAGGTTGCTGTGCTCGCTTGATCCCGAAGACTCACATTTCCAACCTGCATGCATTTTAGAAGACAAACTAATTGGAATTTAATTGAGGAGAAACCCTATAGTAGATTTACACCCTATCGATTTAGAGAAATATCCTTAATTTCTAAAATCCAGTCTTCTTTAATCCTAAGACTTTCAGGAAGCAGTTTTACGTTATGGGGGAAAAAACGACGCAAGCTCTAGAAATACACGATCTTCATTTTGCTCCTCTTCCTGTGACTTATTAACTAAGGAACTTTCAGAAATCGCCACACCTCTCAAAACTTGTGCTTCCCCACCTGTACAATAGGCTGATGAAATAGGTGGGCTCATGAGTTGTTTTGAGGATTAAGTGAGATGACAATATAAGATATCTGGCACCTAAGAAGTGCTCAGAAGATATTACTGTCACTGCTCCTACTTCTGACAAGTGATCTTTTAATTACTTACTGTGCCTAAAAGAATTGCTGCTTCTAGGCCGGGCGTGGTGGCTCACGCCTGTAATCCCAGCACTTTGGGAGGCCGAGGCAGGCAGATCACAAGGTCAGGAGATCGAGACCATCCTCGCTAACACAGTGAAACCCCGTCTCTACTAAAAATACAAAAAATTAGCCAGGAGTGGTGGCGGGCGCCTGTAGTCCCAGCTACTCGGGAGGCTCAAGTAGGAGAATGGTGTGAACCCGGGAGGCAGAGCTTGCAGTGAGCTGATATCGCGCCACTGCACTCCAGCCTAGGCGACAGAGCGAGACTCCACCTCAAAAAAAAAAAAAAGAAAAAAAAAAGAATTGCTGCTTCTAAATTTCTTCCAACCTGCAGCAGATGAGATCTGTGGAACATCAGACATCTGAATGACATGTGAAAATGTCATCAATCATCGCTTCAGCTCTCAAAGGTGAATTTTATTCTAAAACTATTTGATTCTTATTAACATATACTCATGTGTAGAAAATTTTTATGTCCCTTAATTTCAGGACATCTACCTTAAACACAAATTTAAAATGTGGGAATATTAGTAATCATGTTCCATTTGTTAAGCTTTTATGCCTAAGGCAATGTACCAGAGATTCCCAAAAAGTAGATACTTTGATTGGGGTAAATAATTCGAGAAAACTATTGTCATAAGCTCCCCAATAGCCCTGGGAATATATATGTAAATATTTTGAGAAAACTATCATCATAAGCTCCCCAATAGCCCTGGGATATATGTGACTGGAAGAGTTAATGATGAAGGAAATGGATAATCCTATGGCAGCTTAAGAACTCAAGCAGCTGTGATTAATAGAGCTTGTATACAGCAGGTGTCAATCAGTCTCTTTAGAGAACATCTTCAATTTACCAAAATATGTAGAAATAAAATTTTCTAGTTAATTTCTAATAAATTTCCTTGTTTAATTGAGAGTCAACAAGAAAAACCTTATTTTTTGTTTTACCTTTATTGTTCAAAGTCTCCCTAAAATGTGAATAAGTGGGATTTCTAAACAGTATTGTAGACTTGGTCTCCTAAGAACACTTTTTTCTAAGAGGAGAACGGCAGCACAGCATAGTAGCAAGACACCTAGACTAGATGTCACCAGGCCTGAAGTTTACCCTTAGAATTTTCCATAGTTGAGTCACACGTCTTTGGGTATATCACTTGGCTCTATGAACCTCGGTTGCCACTGAGATATATTCAGTTATTTGTAATATGATATTCAGGCATAAGAATTCTGCAGAAATATAGCAGAATGAATGTATTTTCCCAACTGACAGCTGTTGAGGTTCTATATGCCCTATGAGCAACTATGATTTGTACTGTCATTATTACTACCTGTGAAAGTCACTCATGTCCCTGTGGATGTGAAAGACCAGTGAAAAGATGAGCCACAGGGCTGTTTTTCACATTAGTAAAAACTTGAAATCAACTCAAATGTTCTGCTTTTTGTTTGTTTGTTTTGAGAAAAAAAAAAAAAAAAAAAGGCTAAAGTGTAGTAGTGCAATCATGGCTCACTGCCGCCTCAAACTCCCAGGCTCAAATAGTCCTCCCATCTCAGCCTCCCAATTACCTGGGACTGTAGACACACACCACAACATCCAGCTAATTTTTTTTTATTTTTAGAAGAGACAGGGTCTTGCTATGTTGCCCAGGCTGATCTTGAACTCCTGGGCTCAAGTAATCCCCCACCTCAACCTCCCAAAGTGCTGGGATTACAGGCATGGGCCACTGCACCTGGCACCAAATGTTCTAAATATTTGAAATATACAGGCCTGGGTTTCCCAGTGTATCTCCCCTCCCACAACTCCTTTATGAGACGTTGACCACAGGTAGTTTTTTTCCATGTAAAATGTAGTATATTGTGTTACATGAATGTTGCTACTGTGGTCACAATGTATGGGACTTGGGCCTGAGCCATGAGAGACCAACATGAACTTGTGTAAGGTGGTCATACGGGAAACTAGCTTCCTATCATGTGGCTTGGCTCAAGACTCTGCCCAGTACACATGCTCCATATTAAGTGATATGAAAACTGATCCAAACAAAGTCTCTCTGTTAGGAACAGTAAGAGAGTAGCAGAGACCAATGGATATCTGTTTCAAGGAGATAAAATAGCCCAATCACTAGTGGTGGAAGTCTCCTGAGCTTGCCTTGCCTCTTGAAAATGAGATGTTCTTCCAGTCTTTCTTAAAGTTTGGTACCTGGACTGAACAACGATAAGACAGCTTTCTTGATTTCTTCATATTCTAATCTTAGCTTTCCTCACTTAAGTAACCTAGCTATGTGTCTTCTTTGCAAACTAAAAATGTCTATGTTTAAGATACATTAGTGTACATGTATACAAAACTCGATAACTTTTTCCAAAAGTACACATTCAAAGGAGATCAGAAGGAAAATCCATCAATGTGTTAACAGTGTGACAATACTGTTATCTACTTTTACTTTCTCCATGTTGCTTATCTTTTTTTTTTTTTTTTTTTTTTTTGAGACGGAGTCTCGCTCTGTCGCCCAGACTGGAGTGCAGTGGCGCGATCTCGGCTCACTGCAAGCTCCGCCTCCCGGGTTCACGCCATTCTCCTGCCTCAGCCTCCGGAGTAGCTGGGACTACAGGCGCCCGCCACCACGCCCGGCTAATTTCTTTTTGTATTTTTAGTAGAGACGGGGTTTCACCGTGTTAGCCAGGATGGTCTCGATCTCCTGACCTCGTGATCCGCCCGCCTCGGCCTCGCTTATCTTTATTTTCTGATTTTTTTAAACACACAAGATTGTTCTTATTGGAGAGAATGAATTTTTGTTGTAAAAATAGTAAGTTCTATCCAGCTCAGGGACAAGATGACACAGAGTTACTTCTCTCTGCTCTTCCTCTCTAAATATAGCTAAATATCCTGGAACTAATTCAGTAGATAATCATAAAACAACTTGAAAAAGTGAGAAGAAGGCTTACAATGTCAAGCCTTAAGGGATGATGTCAGAGTGAGTTCCTTGCATTTCTTTCCTACGGTTCATATATCACAGACTGGACATCAAAAAGGTAGCCTTTTTGCAGCATCGAACCACTTACAGGAATAGACAAATAAAAATGCTTGCTCTCTCTGCCAAAGAACTGAGAAAGAGGTGATCCAGCAGAGACCTAATAAAGTGATCCACCCCAATCCCAAGGCAGTGGCAGGCTCAATCAGCTGCAGCAGCAACTAAAACCCAGTGTTTCCAAAACTACCCCTCCATTCACTCCGAAAGCTCTTCAGGGATTGATTGAGAGCCCAGCAGAAGCAGAAGAACAAAGTCAACTAGAAAAATACGCAAGGGCTCTGAAATTAAACGGTCATTGAACCAATAGCTCACAAAAATAGGCAAGACCTAAACTTAAACAGAAGTTGAAATAGAATCAAAAGCTGCCAAACGAGTTGGGGAGGGACTGGGATTGGGGTTGCCCTCGCCCCGAGGCCCTGGCCTCAGTCTGCCCCCTCCAATTGGCGGTGCCGGCCCCCCGCCGGGGCTTCCCAAGCCAAAGAAGAGGAAAGAGCCCGTGAAGATCGCGGCGCCGGAGTTGCATAAGGGAGATTCAGATTCTGAGGAAGATGAACCCACAAAGAAGAAAACTATCCTTCAGGTTGCTCCTGCCCCATGCCTTCTCCCGCAAACCCTCGGATGGCTCCCCTGATACTAAGCCCTCCAGACTGGCTTCTAAGACCAATACTTCCTCTCTTGCCCCTGTTGTGGGCACCACAACCACCACTCCGTCGCCCTCTGCTATCAAGGCTGCTGCCAAGAGTGCTGCCCTGCAGGTGACAAAGCAGATCACGCAGGAGGAAGACGACAGTGATGAGGAAGTAGCCCCCGAAAACTTTTTCTCCCTCCCTGAAAAGGCCGAGCCACCTGGAGTTGAGCCATACCCTTACCCCATCCCCACTGTCCCTGAAGAGCTGCCTCCAGGCACGGAACCAGAGCCGGCTTTCCAGGACGATGCAGCCAATGCCCCCCTTGAATTCAAGATGGCAGCAGGCTCAAGTGGGGCCCCTTGGATGCCTAAGCCTGGGGATGACTACAGCTACAATCAGTTTTCCACATATGGCGATGCCAATGCTGCTGGTGCTTATTATCAGGATTATTACAGTGGTGGCCACTATCCTGCACAGGACCTGGCCCTGGTCCCACACCCCAGGAAATTGCCCCAGATGCCTCCTTCATCGATGACGAAGCATTTAAGCGGATGCAGGGCAAGAGAAACCGAGGGAGAGAAGAAATCAACTTTGTGGAGATTAAAGGTGATGACCAGCTCAGTGGGGCCCAGCAATGGATGACTAAGTCATTGACAGAAGAGAAAACCATGAAGTCATTCAGCAAAAAGAAAGGTGAGCAGCCAACAGGCCAGCAGCGGCGGAAACACCAGATCACACATCTTATTCATCAGGCCAAGGAGCGGGAGCTGGAACTGAAGAACACTTGGTCGGAGAACAAGCTCAGCCGCCGTCAGACCCAAGCCAAATATGGATTCTAGGGCTCTGGAACTGATGGCTCCCAGGATCTCCTGCCAGCCCAGCTGGCCTGGCCCCCAGCTTCACCTCTGGGACCCCAGCAGCTGCTCTAAGCCCAGGATCTCTTTCCCCAAGGACCCAGCCCTCGCCTCTGCGAGAATGAACATATTTGATAGATTTTTCTTAACAAGTTAGAAAATTCAGCTCCTGTCTGTCCTGGAGCTAGCAAAGACTTGTGTGATGCCTCTGAAGGGGCTCTGAGTTCTGGAATGGGAGTTTTGCTCCCTGTCAGGTGTGATGAAATGTTGAACCCTCCCCACCACCACTTTTTTTTTTTTTTTTAAACCAGGGATGTCTGTTGAAATAAAACATTCAGTCTGACAAAAAAAAAAAAAAAAAGCTGCCAAACATAATATTCAAAATATCCAAGACACAACAGAAAGCCATTCGTGGTAGGAAGAACCATAAAAAACACAAAAGTGAGAAAAGACCATCAGCTGACACCTGCACTGAGATGAATCACGACTTCGGATTATCAGACAAAGTTTAGCACCATCATTAAAATGCTTCTACACTTACAAATTCTCTAGGAAGAAATAAAATAGAAAATCTTGGCAAAGAAACAGAAGTTTTTTTTTTTAATACAAAAGTATAATTTATAGTGAAATTATAGAAATGAAAAATACAAGTGAAAATTATAGAACTGAAAACTACAATTACTAAAACTAAAAAAAACAAAAAACCTCACTGTATGAATTCAGTGGTAAAGTGGAGACAACCAAGAATAGAATTGGTGAACTTGAGTTTATTCAAAAAGAAAATAAACTAAAAAAAATTTTAATGAATGAATTCTTAGCATTTATGGAACAAAAATGTAAGTTGAAAAATATTCTACGAGACTCCAAAAAAAAAAAGAAAAAGAAAAAGAAAAATATTCTATTATCGAAGTGCCAGAATGAGAGGGGAAAGAACGTGGAGTTGAAAAGGGAGTCAAAGAAATAATGGCTGAAAATGTCTCCAGTTAGCAAAAGGCTTAATCCAACAAATCCAAGAGTTGGGCAAACCCGAACAGCATTAACTGAAAGAAATTCCCACCAAAACACATCATAATGAAATGTCTGAAAACAAAAGAGAAAGAAAAAACTCTTAATAATAGCTAGAGAGAAATAACATATTCCCTGTAGTGGAAAACCAATTTAGATGAAAGCAGATTTCTCTTTGAAACCAAGGAGGCCAGAAGGAAGTGACACAACACTTACAAGTGCTAAAAGAAAAGAAAAAAAAAATGTAAAACATATAAAACTGAATGAAAATAAAAATACAATGCATCAAAATTTTGGAGAGATATCTAAAGTAGGGCAGAGAGGCAAATTTATAGCTAAATGCTTACATTAGAGAAGAAGAAAGGTCTCAAGTCAAAGATAATAGCTTCTACCTCAATAGACCAGAAAGAGAAGAGCAAAATAAGCCCAAATTTAGCAGAAAGAAGGAAATAATAAAGAGAAGAGCAGAAAGAAATGAAATGAAAAACAAGAAAACAACAGAAAAAGTTAATGCAACAAAAATCTGGTCCTATGAGGAAAACCCAATCTCTAGCAAGACTGAGAAAGATAAAAAGAGAGAAGACACAAACCAACAATATTAGATAAAATGGGAAAACACAACAGATCCTGCGACCATTAAGAAGATAATAAAAACCCAGGAGGCGGAGCTTGCAGTGAGCTGAGATCCGGCCACTGCACTCCAGCCCGGGCGACAGAGCAAGGCTCTGCCTCAAAAAAAAAAAAAAAAAAGATAATAAAGAAATACTATGAACAATGTTATATTCAACAATAGAAAAGAAATGGACCAATTCCTCAAAACCACAAACTAATGAAACTCAGCCCAGATGAAGTAGATAACTTGAATAGTCCTTAACAATTGAAGGAATTGAATTTATAATTTAACAGCTCTTGGAAAATCATTTCACTGAAGACTCTTACCAAACATTAAAAGAAGAATTCACATCAATTTTAAACAATCTCGTCCAAAAAATTGAAGAGGATAGAACAGGTCCTAACTCACTTTATGAGGCACATATTATCCTGATACTAAAAGCAGACAAACACAGAACAAAAAATTAAAACTACAGCTCAATATCTCTTATAAATTTAAACATAAAATTTCTCCACAAAAGATAGCAAATCAAATTCAGCAACGTTATAAAAAGAATAATACACCATTCTTTAGTACAAGGGGGATTTCTTTCAGGTCTATAACCCTGGTTCAACACTTGAAAATCCATCAATGTTTAATCCATAGTATTAACAAGCTGAAGGAGAAAACTCACACGATCATATCAATTGCTGCAGAAAGAAAATTTGATGAAATTCAAAACCCAGTTATGACAAATACTCTCAACAAACTGGGAATAAAGATCTTCCTCAACCACATAAAGAGCATCTATACAAATTCTATATTTCTATTCCCAGTTTTATATGACCATTAAGCTAGCACCATGCTTACTGTTCAAAGGCTGAACACTTTCCCTCTAAGATCAGGAACAAGGTAAGGATGTCTGGTCTCACCACTGTTACTCACCACAGTATTGGAAGTTCTAGCCAGTGGTAATAGGGCAAGAAAAAGAATTAAAGAGCATACAGGCTGGAATGGAAGAAATAAAACTGCCTCCATTTGTAGATGAAAGTATTATCTACATGCAAAACCCCAAGGAATCTATAATAAGTTTTCTAGGACAAATAAGTCAGTTATTAAGGCCCCAGGATACAAGATCAATACATAAAAATCAATTTTATTTCCATATACTAACAACAAACAAGTTCAAACTGAACTGATTGCAATACTATTTGCAATTACTCCAAAGAAAATGAAATACTTAGGTATAAGTCTAACGAAACAGGTGAAAGATCTATATGCTGAAAATTACAACGCATTTATCTTTTAAAATCATAAAAGACCTAAATAATTGAAGGGCCATATTGTGTTAGGGGATTGGAATACTCAGCATAGTAAACTTCTCAATTCTCCCCAGATCTACAAGTATAATGCAATTCTTGTCAAAATCTCAGAAAAAAAAAAAAATTAAATTGAAAATCTTATTCTAAAATTTATATGGAAACAAAAATTCCCTATAATAGCCAAAACAATTTTTTAAAAGAATAAAGGGGTAGAAGTCACTCTTCCTGATATTAAGTCTTACTACTTAGCTACAGTAGTCAAGACAGTGTGATAGTGGTGGAGATATAGTCACACATATCAATGGAACAATAAAGAGCTCAGAAATAGACCCACAAAAATACCTTCATTTAATATTTGGCAAAGAAGCAAAAGTGATTCAATGAAAGAAAGACAGCCTTTCTGAAAAATGGTGCTGGTAAATTGGACATTCATAGAGAAAAAAAAAAAAAACCTCAGCCTAAATCTCATTTCTTATTTTAAAAATTAAAATGTGTGATAAAATGTATCAATGTAAAACATAAAAATAGAAAAATTTATTGGTCCTCATCAAAGTCTTAAAACCTTTGCTCTGTGAAAGACCCTGTTAAGAATATAGAAAGATTGGTAGCAGTGGCTCACGCCTGTAATCCCAGCACTTTGGAAGGCCGAGGTGGGCGGATCACGCCATCCCAGCTAACACAGTGAAACACCATCTCTACTAAAAAATACAAAACAGTTAGCCAGGCGTGGTGGCGGGAGCCTGTACTCCCGGCTACTGGGGAGGCTGAGGTAGGAGAATGGCAGGAACCCGGGAAGCAGAGCTTGCAGTGAGCCGAGATCGCGCCACTGCACTCCAGCCTGGGCAACAGAGCCAGACTCTGCCTCAAAAACAGAGCGAGACTCCGTCTCGAAAAAAAAAGAAGATAGAAAGACAAATTACAGACTTGGAGAAAATACTGCAAATCGCATATTTAACAGAGGGTTTATATCTAAAATAGAAAACAAGTTTTCAAAACTCAACATTTTAAAATATTCAGTTGGAAAATGGACAAAAGACATGAACAGATTTTTCACTGATGAGGATATATAGATAGCAAATAGGCCTATGAAAAGAGGCTCAACATCATTAACCATTAGGAAAATGCTAATTAAAGTCACAGTAATTGTCTCTATATACCTATTAAGATGGATAAAATAATAAATACAACACTCAGTGCTGGCAAGGATGTGGAGAAACTGGATTACTCATACATTACTGATGAGACTGCAAATGGCACAACTACTCTGAAAAAAGTTTGCACTTTCTTTTGAAACTAAAAATGGACTTACCACACAACCCAGCAATTGCATTACTGGGCATTTATCCCAGAAAAATAAAAACTTATTTTCATGAAAAAATTCTACAAGAAGATTTACATCAGTTTTATTCATGCAAGTAAAAAACTGGAAACTACCTAAATGGCCTTCAATAGGTGAATGGTAGAACAAACTGTACTTCTATACTATGGAATGCTACTGAGCAATAAGAAGGAATACACTATTGACTGATGCACCAAGTTGGATCAATTTCAAGGAAATTATGCTGAGTGAAAACGCCAATCTCAAAAGAATACATACTGCATCATCCCATTTATGCAATAGTGAAATCATGTAATTACAGAGATGAAGAATCAATTCATGTTTGCTGGGGGGTCAGGAATGGGGCTTTTGGAAAGGGAGTAAATGTGACCATGAAAAGGAAGCATGAGAAAGACTTGTGGTGATTATAGATCCTGTTTGTGACAGTTATTACACAAAGCTATACACATGATCAAATTACATAGAGCTACATACACACACACACACACACACACACACATAAATGCATGCAAAACTTTTGAAATTTGAATAAACTCTTCGGAATGTACCAGTGCCAATTTCCTGATTTTGATATTGTGCTATAGTCATGCAGGTTGTTAGAAGATACTGGATGAACAGGCACCAGAACTCCTTGCACATTTCCTTGCAACTTCCTTTGAATCTATAATTATCACAAAATAAAAAGTTAAAAATAATAGCAAGTGCTGTTTACTTTTGGAGGCCAAGGTAGGGGACTCATTTGAGGCCAGGAGTTTGAGACCAGCCTGGACAACATAGTGAGACCTCATCTCTACAAAACAAACTTGTAATTAGTCAGGTGTCGCGTTGCGTGGCTGTAGTCCCAGCTACTTGGGAGGCTGAGGTGGGAGGATCACTGGAGCCCAGGAGGCCGAGGCTGCAATGAGCTGTGATCACATCACTGCTCTCCAGCCCAGGTACAGAGCAAGACCCTGTCTCTACAAAATATAAAAATAAGTACACAGTAAGTACTGTTTGAAATATTTACTTCAAAAAATACATATTCTTTTACACTTATGTTCATTATTTTTATCCATAATTTTCCAGAAAAAAGTTTGTGTTTAAGATAAAAACAGGAAGTAAAA